TGCTGCTATGGAAACAGCATCAGCTGGGTGTGGTGGCTCATGCCTGGAATCCCAACATGCCTTTTTCTTAACTTCCTCAGAAAAACATTTCTAAAGATGCAGTTAGTGGTGAACTCCTTGACCAGGGCTTTGTGCCTGGCTGGGAAGGAGAAGCCTGACTGAGAACCCAGGGTGCTCTTGTAGAGAACCTAAGTTTAGGTCATAGCTCACAACCAACTGTAACTCTAGCTCTGTCCTTTATCTGAGCACACATCTATATCCATAAACTCATGCCTGCATACACATACACCAAATAAAAATAAAATAAATATGAGATAGAAAGATAACAAGAATAAGACATAACCCAGGGGAGCTGGTAGGGGAATCCTGAGTGCATGATGGAGCTGCAGCTATGTCCCTTTGGATGCCAAGTCAGATTTGAAGGAATTGATGTTTGCACTGAGACCCCAAGGATGAGGGGATATCACTCACACAAAAAGCACAGGAAAGAGAGTTCTGCCAGAAAAATATCAAATGTGAAGACGTACACACAGAAGGGACTTGACATCCAGAGAATTGAAAAACTGCCATTGGGAATAAAACTTAAAGAACAAGAGGAAAGCCAACTCCCATGCTAACAACTGAACTTCTGGGACATCGGGCACAATACTAGCTGAGAACTGTGTGAGCAGTGTGGAGAATTAAATCCCAACTTCGAGGTGTAAGATAGACTCATTCTTAGAGGCAGACTCTGTGGCTCTCACAAGGCTTTCTAAGAGGTGTACTCTTCCTCTCCCACACAGCATTACTTGATTTCAAGGGGAACACAAGGTGTGTGCTATTAGCAAGACCAGAGGGACTATGGGTGCAGCTGGCAGCTATGTGAAATATATACACTTTTCAGCACCCAGAAAACTACTTAAGAAATTTATGTAAATAATTATCTTTGATGGGGGAGACAAGGGGGTGACTTGGGACACTGTGAGGGATGTCTTTGGGATAAACAACTTTAGGGGCCCCACCTATGCTAGGGATGCCCAAAGGAGAACAGCAACTATGGCAGCCATGGGGAAGTCAGCACTCTCGTGCTGGAAATCAAATGGAAAAAAAAAAAAAAAAAAACATGTACAATGAATTAGAGATATCCAAAAATTATAAGGACTTAATCCTGGCATGTATTAAATATAGATAGATAGATAGATAGATAGATAGATAGATAGATAGATAGATAGATAGATAGGTAGGTAGATAGATAGATAGATAGATAGATAGATAGATAGATAGATAGATAG